ACTTCTGTAGCTTAGGGATACCGTGGACAAGGAGCGATTTTACATCCTTTTATTTGTGGTAGTCGCCCGAGTTAGGCCTGCGTTTCTGGTGTTCGCATTATGTACCATCTGGAAAAATGGGAATATTTCATTGAGACCTTCGGAGACGAGTGGCTGACTGGAGCGTTATTTTGATTAGTTGTGGTTAACATTAGTGTGTGGGACTTAGACGACGGACCAGGCGAATCATACTGAATGGCTTTGCTTGGACTTTAGTTATTTGACAGATGGCGTCCCACTGATTCTGGTCGTCTAGCAGCCTCCATTTAATGGAATCCGACTCAGATTTAAGCCCATTTAAGCACATAACAGTAAGGGATTTATGATACTGTCTAGTGTTCTCGCTTTTAGAGGATAGTGGCTGTTTTCTTTGTTCTGACACCAGGTGGCACACACGGTTTCTTAGTTTTACTGGTGGCCATAACTGCTCCTGGTCTGATAACAGTTGAATTTGTGATGGATGATGCCACTATCATGTAAGTTGCAACAATGGATGCGCAGATTGTTGCTCCCTAAACAGCTTTGAATGGAACGCAAGGATCTGATGAAATATTCAGTTCAAGTGCACCATTAGAAGCGGGCCCCCGTATCATGCTTATGCTGTCTAACTCCTGCTCACCGTTCTCACTCCAAGCTTGGCTGTTCTGTTTCAACTGGAGTTTGACGTTGCACTTCCAAATCGGGACTCTGATAACTCTGGGTTCAGTGGCATGAATCTTACAGCAGTTGCACGCCCTACAATGTCTGCCGATTAGTCTCACTTCTGCACCGGCATTATTACGCAGCTGACTAGTGATATGGTCGTAACTTTTGCGCAGGACCACATGGAATCGATAGTATTATTTTGTTTCTTTACTCTGATTAGGCTAAGGAGACCGCACTTAGGATGGAACCTTTTAAAACCTTTGGTGCATTCTGTTCCAGTTCGTGCATACTTAAAACAGCTTCCGTAATAATCGTTCATTTGTAACCAGGCACGTCAGTATTCATGAACCTGGGATAGGGTGGTGACTGCCGATCTCAAACCATTGATGCCCAACTGCTATAGCTCACACGTTCCGTGAAGGATTCAGGTGTGCTCTCGCACTGCGATTTAAATTCCATTGACAACACGAACAGGCTATATCGGAACGGACTACACATGCTGTAGACGCTCAAACGCAGTTTTTGTTTTGGTATGGAGAGATAGACATCCTCCGCTTCCTTCCTAAGAATGATATTGGAGTACGGCTCACATGCCTACTGTCCAAGCACCCAAAGCAGGGCACAAATGATCTAACGGGTCCAATACGCCTTTACCAGACTAATTCTGAGGATTACCGTACGAAGGCCGGTGGGAGAACCTAAGACTCGACAACATTTCTCGTCGTCAAGTGCGAGTAGATCTCATTATGACCTGTCGACTTTACTTCTTTCATGTCTGCCCCCACCCTACCCATTCACGAAAGCAATTGGATATCGTACTGAGCTCCCGTCACATTGTTACAAGAACGAATATTCTGAACATATTTAGGCTAACCCGATTCTTTAGGATTTTAAGCCACAATGACGCACGTGAATCTGGGCAGACGGGTGAGTAATCCGATGGTTATTTGCCATTAGCGTTGACCATAACAAATCGTTAATCCATTTTGCATGGTACCATCTAGCCCCCTCAACCCTATTAATTGCATAGGATTACTATCTATTCACCGATGTGCACTATTTAGTCTACTTATGTAGTATTCGAATTTACAGTTCCTTCATTACCAGCCTACGGGACATGTTAAACCTGTGTTGGCTTACTTGTCATAGATGATTGTTCCAAGGTTCCATCCGCCATTAAAGTCGAGGGAAGTGGCATATGTCATCATTTAAATAACAGGTTCATCTTATCATTAGAAGCTGGCTGTTTTTCGGACCACTGAAAAGCATCATTTAATACTCCTCGTCATGCAGGTGCCATCAAACAGAACAATGCTAATTACCGGCCTCTCCAGCACACACCCAAAATTATCAATCTGCTTGAATAATTGAATAAAACTGGAATGTTGAACCTTATTCATCCTTCTGGTATGCGTAACAAATCCCAATTTGGATTCGCCGATAAACCTTCATATATTACCCTCATTGCACTATCTGGATAACACCACAGAACTCACTGACTCCAGTTTTGAAGTCATACTTTTATTTCCGGATATGCAAGTGGCTTTCAGTCGGGTGTCTGATAAGCATCTGCTGGAAAAATAGTTATTTGGAATCAGAGATCCATTACTGGGTTGGCTGACCTCATACATGAAAAGTGTAACCAGATAATCACTCTGAATGAGCACTAAGCTTCTCCACATCCAATCACCATTTGGGTCCCCCAAGAAAGCGTATTTGATCCTTTTCTTTCCCTTCCCTATTGTAACGATATCTGCATGTTCATCAAACATTGTAGATCAGTTTTGTTAGCCAATGACATTAGGGTTGTTTATAAATTTTGACAAGAAAAACCCAGACCACAAGCATACTCGTTCAAGTAGATATCATCTTACTCGAGAACTGATGGGATACATGGGTGGTGAAGTTGTCAGCTGGCAAATCGAGCATCATATCCTACGGATGCTCCAAATCTGAATAATCAAATAAACTCAATGGCAAAAAAGATTGTGTGAAACTGTCTAGCTGTTATCTAGGAATACTATATTCTTCTAACTTCAACTTATCAGAGCAGCCCGAATATCAAATAACTGGCGCCAAACGATCTTTGGTTAACAGATGCCATTCAATTAATGTAGTCCCTGCCAATATCAAGCTTTTCAAAATACTCACCTTCTCATCTTTGCATACTGCAGGATCATTTATGGGGAAAATACGAACGCGTGACAGTAATGCTCTGGAAAACTTACAATGATCATTCACCAAACATTAGGTTTGATAAATGGTCCGCCTGGAACTTTCAAGAACGCTGCTAACAGCTTCACCTCAAGCTTATTTGGTTGCGAGCACTGAAACGCAACTTGGTGCTCGTGCACAGTCCCAAAAACCAACAGGCATACTCCCATCTATCCACAGTAGAGCTGCAATACAACTACCCTAAGAGGATACGCGAGAAAATATTTATACTAACTGTGCGAAAAATCAGGATAGCTATTCGATCTAAAGTCATCCTCGTCAGATAGGTTGTCTTATGGAGTAGCTTACCAGCAATTATAAGCTCTTGAGCAAATACAAAACATTCGCATTCAACTGGCACATTTCCTTGACCAGTTTTCAATAATGACCATGTTTTCATCGGGAAAGTCAGCAAAGGAATTTTTCCAAGTTGGACTAAGGAATATGTAGCCAGTTGGAAGACTAATGCACAAAACCCAACACCAACCAAACTCGTGTACTTCAGAAAGCCTTAATAGCACAGACGCAATCGAATCCATATTTCATTCATGCCAGGGCGTGAACAATATTAAACTAAAGATCTATCCCTACTTCAGAGACAGTCCCTTGCAAATCTGAGAAATATACGTATTAATTATATTGATAACTGGCTTTACGTTCAGTTGCGGTAAGCACGATGCTTTACTATTCATCTGCTCGAGTATTTAGTCACCGTATTCAGCGTGTTTGTTTAGTGTTGACATTGACTGAGATGGTAAAACACTGAGTGTGATCAGTGGCATTTCTGGTTGGCCCCCTGCTTATACCAAAGAACATGTGAGAATAGCTATAGTTCACAAATTTCAAATGCCTTAAGCACCAACATTTCAGCCGGCGAGCATCTACTCACTGTTTATAAGAACCTAGTTGCCATCGTTCATTGAATACCGCTGGATTTTCATCGCACAATAAAGGGATCCCGATGGTTGCGGATTAAAAGTTGTAGTTACGGAGTTTTATTGGGAACCTGCAATAAAATTGACACGTGCCACAATTTTACCTCTCATCTCTGATCATTAGCTTTGTAGATGCTCTGCACGTATGAGTCAGTATGTCCTAATGGTAATATAGAGCCGCTTGCAACATTAGCCGTCTTGGAGGTCGCATCGAGATGAATTTTTTCTCACATGCTGCTTAGTTAGGTAGCTTGCCAAACATTGCGGAACCGAGTTTAGCACGTTCTGGGATGGGCTTCACTGATCCGATTCTTGCACATTTGGATTAGTCGTAAATATCTTGTTTTAAACCGGGAGTACAAACACATTTACCCCGCTGATTTTCCTTTTAACTGTCTTAAGTTCCCACAAATAAACATGTACAACAATTTGTTTTCTGAATGATCTTAAGGATTCGTTAGGAAGTTGTATCGATTCCCGCAAATCTCATATCGCCCGGTATCTAGCTTTCCTAGTCATTTACTTTGGTGCGATTGAATGATAAAGCAAGCCTTTCGGTCTACCATGCACCTATCTAACAAACTTGAACCACACCTGAGCGCACGAACTCGGATGAAAAAGTCTGGTTCTAAAGTTTAGATGAATTAATGTCAAGTCCGCTCGACCAATACAGTTTACACTCTGCTTTCAACTTTCTCGTATGTCCACAATCGTGGTACTTTGCTTAGCTTCACTTTCAGTGTATGTAGCAGGTGACATCTGGTTACTACGACTGTTAGCTCTCGTTGCTGTGGTTTATCACTCACAGTTGGTATCTCCTGAATGCTCAGCGCCAGTCATGGCCGTTGGATCGGTCACCGCCTGTGCGCCTTGCTGTGAATTGTTCATAGGTCGTTTGAAGTACTGTAGGGACAAGTTGTCCACAAGCCCCGAAGCAATATAGTAATGGAACGGTACAAACTATATAGCAATTATTGTACTTTGAGTTTATAGCACTATATGGAATAAGCTGCCTCTTTTACCCACTGTCGACTAAGAAGTCCTAGTACAAACTCGTGACGAATTAAATGGTCCGTTGAAGTTAGATAGAAAAGTTCAAGGTACGGATTTCGAATACAGGAAATAGTATCATGCTTGTTGCCTTTTAGGAAGGATCCTGGAACTTACTTCCGCATCTGGGTGGTCCTGTAATGCATCCAATACGTCTGCACGCGACAGTGTGAATAAATCTGCATACCCAACAGCACGTACATCTGCCGTCCGTCTGAAAGAATTGAACATTACACCAACATGTGTGATCAATGAATTAAGGAAACGATTTTTAATTCCCAGCTGACGGTTTTCAAAATGAGATCATCAGTTGAATGAAATATAGGACAGTTTGTCCATACAGGTAGAGTCACCGCATCCGTTAACCGACCTAGTACTATTTTTGAGCGGCTCTTGTGGTGGTTCGCCTTTACAATTCGGCCTCCGTCGCAGCCAACTAACTTTCAGTTGATGACTCTCTATATTTTACTAATGTTTAACCTTCCACTTTGATCAAAAGAAACATGTCCTGATTGCCTGAATTAGAATGATCTATATCAGAAGCCAATGTTTGAACGACTGCGAGTAATCCACCATTGATTAACATTGTATGATGGGAAAAGATATAGAGGACTATGCGTGTGGACAACTAAAAATAAAGTGCGGTAAATTTGGTCTGAAGTGCATCTACATCGTCACTTAGTGTATATGAGACGAGGTGTTTTGCCATATGCATAGGATCCTTTGTTAGAGATTAGCTCAGGTGGCGGCCGTATGCCACGTGTCTGGGTGGCTGTTAGCACAGCAGCAACTTGCGAACCGAAGTGAATCGCCCAGGCAGTGAGTGTGTGACGAGATCCATCGCACATCATGTGACGGGATGGCATATACAACTGCAACCAGCTTTCCACTGCAGTCCGAGTTTCACTCTACCAATAAAGAAACTAAGTCAGAGACAATAGTTGGGAACGAATGCTTGTTACATCCTCACTGTGCGGTCCTGCTTGGGGAATAGCTGAATTTGCCAGACGCTATCGGCAGAAGCATGGGTTACAAAAAGTCGACACGCTCAAGCGCATCATCAAAGACACCTATGAACATAGGTGGTGCAGTACAACTAATGCTTTTGAATAATCGAACTCAGCGGAATTTTTCGTTAAATATAGTACTAGCCAAACCTAAGAAATAGTTTTTGTTCACGAAATTTGAATGGAATACCATCCTGATGTTACCTGGGTACTCAATTGTGTTTCTTCGTGCAGACCACTTTGGCTATATCACACGTGGGTAAAGAAATCCTGAAAAAGTATCCTTATAATCACGCAGTTGGCAGAATTATTTAAGTTGCGCATATAATTTGCCCACAGGTACATTTCTGCTGCCTAGACAGAATGCCGAGGTAGGTTGTAAACTGATGTTAAGCAGACCTTACTTGGTTAGCTTCCTCGGTTTATGGCCCAACTTCCAATCAAACTGACGTTAGTGAACTAACTAGTAAGTGAGACCAAACCTGCTGCACCACCAAATGACCGACATTGTAATCTATAGAAACACTTTTGTTCGCCAACAACCCAAGGGAGATAATCTATTTCGTTCTGAGGTTTTCAGTGATAAATACTTGTCGAGGAGCGTCATTTATAACCATTATCTGCTTGGTATCCTTTATTGGTGCAATGAACCCGAACTTCAGTATTTGCAGTTCAAAATTCATCCTTCTCAAGCACCCAACAATTGGTGTGTCACCAAATTGCGACAGCTACCCATGATGTAGTCCACATTGAGAAGCTGGCTTATCATACAAATGCAACTACCAAACTGGCAAATAGAAAGACATATCAAACTATTGTTATTTAAGCAGTACGACGTCACACTAAACTTGTACTTTGCGCGCCTCCCAACTCGTAGCTCGACGAAAGAAGTGGCCAACTATAATTTGGCTGATCATAAGTTCGAGGCCCGAAGGGATCGAAAGAGTGCATCCTTCTGACGAGTCCCGATAGGTCTCACTATTTAGCAAATTTACGGACAAGTAGCAACTGCAAAACGGAGTATGTTTACAACCAGCCTGCTTAATGCTACTGTGCCCCACAAAGATACGCTGTATCGCTTATCAGATACCCCTTTTATGTTGTGCAGCTGTAGCAAGAATCAATAAGAAGTCGAGTGCTTGAGATTAGGTGTTATGAACATCCACGTTCACTAGGATTGCTGTCATCACCCACTAATTACTGATGCATTCTTTGAATTTTTGAAGTCAGCGCAGTTGTTAACAGTTAACCAGCGAAACGTTTCTCATAACGGGCGCAAAAGGTACAAGTAAAGCGGTTACTTTCATGTTTTAACACAAAGGTAAGGGAAAGCCGAATACGGAACACTGTATAACGCAGTAAGAAACGAATTATCTGTGTATCTGCATCTAAAATTCCTCAGGTACATTAACCCATTATGTTGTAAAGCATTCCAGATATTTCGTCTAAGCAAAAGGTCTGTCCCGGAATTGCTTGAATTCTGACACAGACGTTCCTACGACTGCGTGCGGCGGCAGGTTGTTCCATATATTCAACATTTTCCGTTCGAAACATAGTTGGTGAGTGACTGGTTTTAAATCTGATACGACTCTTTATACCAGTGTCTTAGTGTGCTGCCTGGTTTAGGATATATGGTAGTGGCCTTAACAAGTGGTAATCACCGGGACGTAATATCCAGTACGTCATGCGGAATTCAACCCACACTTGATAACAAGACAGGGAGTAAATCTTTGTAGGGGCACGGCTTGTAAAATGGGGATGAGCCTGGTAGCCACATGTTGTACCCGTTCAGTTCTTTGTACCTGACCCCGGGCGATAGGATAAGAGGTGGGTAAGCTGTACTCTAGCAGTGGTTGTATGATTGTAAAGAAGAGGCAAGTGGCAATCTCTCTGGATCAAGTGTGAAAGTTGAGTTTCAGTGCCCAGACATTCGAAGTCCGTTTCTGTAAAACCTATTCGTGTTGTTCATTGAATTGAGGTCACCGCGTGCGAGCACACCGTACTCGATTACAAAAAAATGTGGAATGCAACGGTTGACCGACCACAATGTAGGTCCGACGGTATCTGCTTTTGCCCAGGATCATGAACTTCGGCTTGGCCGAATTTATCGGAAGGTTGCCTTCTACTGACCACGTGGAGAGGTGATCATGGTCGCACTGAAACTGGTCGTAGCCATATGGTGCACTGATTACTCTCCACAACTTCAACTCATCTGCAAACAACGCACAAGGCGAACGGAAAAGCTGAGGCACATCAATTATATATGGACCAAGAGCAAAATAGGCCCAATACAGTGTCTTAGGGATGCCACTAGTCAAGGTTTGCCAGTCGGTCAGATTGTTTTCCACCTGGACCCAAAAGTTTAGACCTAACAGGAAAATGTTGTTGCAATTTGGAGGTAGAAGCCAACATCGCACCCCCACAGGCTGTGGGGGAAGTACTAATCGTTTACTGGTCGAGCGCCTTACTAAAGTCAATGTAAACGACGTCGACTAACTTCCCCTGGTTCAGCGCAAAAAGTAATGTTTTGTTACGAGCAGGTTGATTATATACCAGCGACCTTTTTAAACCATGCTGTGCGGGTGTCAAGAGGCTTTCCGACACGAGAAGCTGCAAAAGAGCAACCTGTACGGTCCTCACTAAACATTTGTCAGCCTGATGGGCTGTTATTTGTCACTTTGCTTGATCCCCTTATTCCGGTATTGGCTTTACTACCGAGCATTTTCAGTCGCTCGGTAATAACCTTTTGTATAGCAGTTTTCTGAGCAGCTCAGTCACGGAAGCCGAGTTGATGGTTGATAATGACCTGAGGATCAACGGATGGATTCCGCCAAGCCCGACTGACTTAGTCTCGTCAAGACTGGTCAACAGCTAACGCATATCTTCAATGCTGCAATCCAATCTGTCTAATTCGAAAGCGGCGATATCCGTCAAACTCGACGCAGATATCTGGTTAGTTGCTGATACTTAAGTCAAATGTGACTTTAATGCTAACAGGTGATCTGTGCTCGAGGCTAGGGACTGAACATCTGGGCCCTCCAACTTTGGCATATTGCCTTCAAGCCTCAGGTGCCGCGAAACAGGCAAAGACCATCTTAGCAGCCGTTTTTACTCAGGCTGTAAGTTGCTTTAAGGAGTTTCGGAGATTTTGTGCTATCCAGCTTTTGCAAACAGTTAGCTGTCTTTTGGAGCCTTTGCAGAGCCAGACAGCGCGAATTTATCCATAGCCTGGATCGACGTCGAACAGGTTTTCCATACTACTTGCCAAACCAATTTGGCTTGTTGGTCCAAATTTCCGATATTTGAGGGGCACACATTGGCGCCCCACGATTTTACTCTCTTTAATAAAAGACTCTTATGCTCCTACACATGCTTTCTATGGTAACAACCCGTCCATCTGGCTAGCGGCTCGAGCGAGGCTATTAAAGTCCACATTCCGGTAGTTAAACACCTGTTCCAGCGAAGGAGAATACGGCAGCGGCAACTCCGAGCTGGCTATGACCTTCGAGTGTTCATTTGCTGCCAGGCGCTCTAGAACCTGAATGTCATGTAAACGTTATGTACAGCTGGCCAGTAGTACGTTTAAGCATGATGGAGCCCAGCGTGCAGTTATCCGCGTCAGTTGGCTGATGTGCTGTGTCGTCCCAGTTTCGAATCTCATCTCCGCGAACTTCGCTTAGACTTCACGATGGCCGGAACAAGTTGGATCTCAGGCCGCTGTAGTCAAGATAAGTTGAACTGGCCAATGCGCAGAAACTGCGGACGACGCATGCGCTTATGGACTTACGGCAGCCCGTCCAAGCAGCGGCTCGGTGGACTAGGACAGACCACATCCAAGAGCAGCCTGCTGCGTCTGAGGTGAATCAAACACCATAACTGACAATCGGCACTTCGGTAGGTGATCACAAGTCTTAGGCAAAACGAAGGAAGGGGATAACAGCTTTTGATGTTCTAGAAGTAAACACTGGTAGAAATTGAAAATGCTGACCGGAATGTGTTAAATTTGGACGACACCAACGGTTTAATTCGAGCTTAATGCCCAAGGGGCACGGATGCATGTGTGGCGGAAAATAGTGCGACAACGACCGGTGGGCACCATTGTAGCACTCAACGTGTGAAAAAACGATTCTGTAAAGGCCATGCAACACGTAGATGGGTGGAGTTGTAGGTAGTAATCCTTATCCACTTTGTGGTTGCTTGTTGTCTCAGGAAGTAAACTGCAGCGTCACTTGGATTCCTGTCAAGTTAACGCGTTACAACGCATGGACGCTGACTAAATGGCTTTCTTGTTGCAGCATCCAACGCGGCCGAGTGCGGTATGTTGAATTGAAAATTGGATCAGATATACGAAGCATTACTAATTGTTTTGCAAACACCATCTGAAAGAGGCTTTCTCCCCGCCTTCTGTCTCACCATTCAAAACGTTTTAGAGCATAGCTAGAAATATAAATACCGCTTGATCTAGTACAGATGAACTCAACGACCACCAGTATGATGGCTATCATTTTAGCGTATTTTGTTCCGTGTGCTACTTAATTTTGAGTTCGCTTGGTAAGCGCATGTACCCAGAGAGTTAGCTTTGTGTATACCAAATTTGATTTCTGTAGGGCCATTCTAGAGGATTGTTACGCCATACAAATTGGTAATTACCGTGTTATATTCGCCTGAATCTCCTGGATGGCACCTCCATCCACCGGTCGGTTTTTCTTGACATCTTAGTTCTGTACCATCCCATACAAACACTGAGCTGGGCCAATAAGTGGCCACACAAGTTGGAACTCCACTGACAGTGTTTTGTGCTCACAAACTGAATCGTTGCAGCACGAACGAGATCATTATAAAAAGCAGTTAAAAATGGACTGGTTCTTATAGACAAACGGTCTGGGATTTCATACCATGCTTACTAGATTTATTCTGTATTAGGCTAAGCAGAAAAGTTGGCACAAGTTTGCCGCACCATTTAATTCCGGAAAAATTTCGATGCATATTTTCAACTGCGTACTACAGACGTGTGAATTTATATACCATGAAAGCAGCGCAGTTAAAATGGCAAATTGACCAAACCGAACAAATCTACATTCACGTCACCTTGTCATCTGTTCCCGGCCTGCTACACAGCAGGAACAGGATCATAAATGCGTCTTTCTGCACATACACAGTTGGGCCAAGTTATTTGAGAGCCACGTCCTCAGCATATCGTAAAGTTAGCAAACTGTTTCAATTATCTGTATTGGTCGCAGTGGGGTAGCTGGGGACTACAAGGGTAAGATTTCATCTGTGACTGGAAAGGTCACACTGTACTACATACACGAGATTCCGTTTCGTCAGTAAAACGGAGAGAGTGGGAGCCATTTCATGTGGTGATGTCCATAAGATCTTCAGCAATGCCGGTGTCCGTATTGACGTCGGTCAACATCTCGAAAGGTGTTGAAAAGTAGATATGATGCATTTAATGTGCGCATTCTCATAAGGGTGCATGCTTTTATCCATGATTCCATTGGATAAATGTACCAATAACTAACTGAACTGATGCAATTCACGGAGCTTTACAGGTTTGGATATTATGCAGCTTGTTCAGGATGAATTTATCTAACGAGCTATCGGATTCCTTCACCTCTACAATGGGCTGCCATTTGCGTGGTCAATTCTGCAGGTAGAACACAGGGAAATATGTTTACCACCTTAGATCACTTGTGTCAGTCGGAAAGAGTTCCAGAACTGAAGCACATAAGTGGTTGAATAAAATCAGGACCTTATACAACTAACTGGAGGACAAGATATCCGCTTTCAAGGGGCTTAAATAACAAGACATACTTGTTTTTTCCATCCAGGTTCAGAATTCCGATTTCCCCGAAATAATCACCACTTTGCATGGTAGCCAGCACAACGCCATTGGATCTAAGGTTTCACAGTGAAAATATTAAAGTAAACATAGTTGAAAGGAACTGACATGATCAGCGAAATCGTGGAGAACAGTGCATTAGAAGCATCACCTCAGTAAAATCTCCGGTTATAGCAGGGTGAAAAAACATAATTCTGATCAACGAAGTTAATTTGCGCTAAGCGCATTATGGCAATCAGGCGTGAGCATGCAGCATTCCCTGAAATAGTCCCGGACTAATCAAGTAAGCTCTTTTAAAAAGACCGTGGTAAAATTATCTTATAGTATACTATTAGTATAACGTGGTCATTGTTCCTTATTGTAAAAAAACCTTTGCGTTTACTTTGGGCCAAGGCAATGGAAAAGAAGGCCTGTCAAGTTGACCCACACAGCAAAGTTCCGGTCATATTATCTTTCGTTTCCGTTGCTTTGAGAAACTGCAGTTTGTAGTGCACAAATTGACCCTACTATCTTTCAGTACGGTGTCATTAACTATGAGAATATCTATGACAGGAAACTTTTGGAAAACCTGCAAAATCTATCAGCAAACCTCTCTTTAGTTGAGCGTTCACTTTAAGCTATCAATAGCGTGGCCTGTAGCTTTACCTTTCTCTCATTGCCGTGACTAAAACACAACCTGATTCTCATGCATAATTTCATAATTTCATAAACCAACGGGCACACTCCCGATCTGTTTACATTAGAACTGCAACACAACTTCACTCTGAAGCATCGAAACAAGACTTACATAATCGTTTTACGAAGAACCAGGAAGGCTATTCCATCTAACATTTTTCACCTCACATACCGTTCAGTGGAATAACCTCCAAACCGCCAACATATCATATGTAAATACAAGAACATTCCACGTTGAAATTGGAGATTTCCCGGACCAGAACTCCTTAACGGCGTGGTGTGCCAGTGTTGGGAAGAGCAACACCCAAATATAGCCTTAACGGCTTGTTATCAACAGACAAATCACCCAATCAGTTTTGCGATAGCAGACCAGAAATGTATAGCAAATGGAAGGAAACTGTTACGCAAAACCCAACATTAAAAGGCCTTACCTTCAGAATGCTTTAACAACACACACTACCGAGTATTTATCTCGCTCATGCAACAGCGTGGTTATAACTGTTTTGGGGATTTGTCACCATTACAAGAACAGTCTCTCACATACCTAGGGAATACCAATGTGTTCAAAAAGAAGTCGAACATTTTAAATAGCTCGCCAACCGTCAGATGGAGCGCTCTGCAGCTGATGTGGTCACACCAACTACCGGTCAGTGCGAAACGTCGCAAATAGCAGGTTATTGCCTAAACAAGCCTCTACGTGCCCTCAGTAGCCGCAGCGCGCAATAAAAAACTTAATAATATTAAGGCTGACCGCTGCGCCAGACGATCTTGATGAGATTTGCCTGGTCACAGCCAGTAAAAGGCAATCCTTTTGCTTATTGCTGTAGGACAAAAATAAATAAATGATTGTCAGCTGGCTAGAACATGTTTTGTACAAGGCTGAAGACAATTTTGGTTTTATACATAGTGACTTCATTCACTGTCCCTGAAAACTTGTTCTCATATATATGCTGTTTAACATAGCGAAATCTGATAGTGATGCGAATACTGGTTACCTTCAGCTGACCTCAAGCAGCTCATCCATAGTAATCAACAAGTAGTCAACGTACCCAACAACTTCCAGTACCCCGTCTTTAATAATAAACATTTCACGCGCTATTTCTCCTTTTCGGCATACGTAGTCACCGGGCGTGAATATTACCGACTTCATTTGTAGCACCAAGTCATGGAGGAATTCTGGACGACATTCTTGAAAGATGCTCACCTGTGGGTCAAAACACACTTGAGTATACGTAATGAAACCATCCAGTACATACATTTGTGGGGTGATTTGATGAATGGTCTCCTATTGGGATGCTAATTTTCGTTCTTACAAGTAATCTGGTGTTTGTTGGCAAGTGAGTTCAAAATGAAAATCACTCCAAAGCTCGATTGTGTAAATGACAGCTAGGCGATAAACACTATGTGCATCACGTTTCTTCTGTGAGCCATGGCACTGCTTATTACGTTGCAAACCTGAAGTAACCTTTTAAAAAACAGCATACAGTTTGTCTAATATCAAGAAGCCGTTTTAATATACTGTTCCAAAACAAGAGAACATTTTCAGTTTCATGCACTTTTAACCGAATAGCGGAAAAAGCGAATGTAAATGGCGATTACATAAAAGTGCTGGATAATAATATTCCTAGTGTCTAACGGTATCTCATTTTCACTGCAAATGTCACCATCTAAAGAACATTTTATTATCAACTAAATACCTGGGACAGTATAATTCCACCAGGTACCAGTACCAGTAATACGGTATGGTGTGTTCGTTGGTCCAGTGTTTTAACACGCGTTAGGTTACCACATATACCTGCATAAATGGGCACGTGAGTAAAACACCTGTGCTTGCTTTTGTTATTACCAACGTGAAATGTTTGTTTTATGATGCGGAATGTTACCGGGTCATTTTCAACCACATACGCATTTAAGCCATAGGCTCAGTTGCCGTGAGAGCAGGCGACAGCCCCATAGTCATGGTTGCATCATGCACATGACACTCGCACATGACGCAACTATTGGCCTGGCGCAGGTCAAATGAAGTCCATAATACTTCTTCATACTTCATCATCATTATCGTTATACTTGTTAGCTGGAGGTGGAAAACACTGTAGGTGTTGTGCCGTAATACATAAAATGCAAAGAAACATACGACAGAGGCACGCCAGCTGAGCCAAAGGTAACGGATGCGCATCGTTCCAGAGAGCTACCAGCCGGCACTTGTGCCTCGAAAAAGCGTTATGTAATGCCTAGGAAATGAGATGGTGCTTGGAGGGAGGGGCTAAGCGGAAGGGGTGGGACAAAGGAACTAACAACACGAAAGCCCCTGAGGTCAGTTTCCAACCATATTAACGAGTGTATTTAACAAATTTGGCTAATCTTCTTTCGGGCCCTAACCAGGGAGCCGAGACGACCCAACCGAAGCCAACTTCGAACTAAGAGCCTTCATTCCTCATGACCAGGTAATCGTTTGGTCATCCCTCCTCTTATTCCATCCACAACCCCGGCGCGCAAACATCGCACGTCGCGGGAGTCGGTGGGCTGGCATGCGAAACACATGGCCCAGCCATCGGAGCTTGGTGCGTGACATAACGGTGCTGAGCGGCTCACTTCTTCCTGTGCCGTAAACTAGGCGTCGAGCACGAGCATTGCAAACACGGTGTTCCCAGTCCTGAGGGGTGAATTTTCAGCCGTGGAACTAGAGCAGTCTCTTCCGTTTTCCAAAGTCAAACTTCTTTCCTTCATCTTCCAGTAGTAAGTAGATGTATTGGGGTCATAGTGCTTCTCAGCAGTAGGATACACTAAATTGGACCATACATCCTAACCGAGCCATTCTGTTGCAGTGAGATAATTTTCCACACAGAACAGCAAAAAGCGTCAGTCTAGTTCAAGCTATCGGCGTGCCGTGGGGCACCGTATGGTCCCAGCGTTCAGTACATTGTCAAGCAAATTTTGTACTACAAGAAGGTAAAGAAAGGAAGTCAGTGTATAGTCGAAATACTTTTCCTTACAGAACTCCCAGTTACCACGTATTTTGATGATAAAAGCCCGGGACCGATGTCAAGCGATTGTCAAGCGTAGTGGTTTCTAGTGTTTCACAGCACGATAAAACTTGTTGGAAGCTACAACGACTGGCAAAATCCGCAACCAGTACTGACGTCATATACTATTCCAAGAATCCTTTATGCATGTGTTCGTACGGAAAACCGGGTCGAATCATAAGTACTGGTCTGACCTAACTAATTAAGCCACGTTCCAAACGTTTCCACACCGTTACTGGTGACCTCTCTGCAGGCACCGGTTTCCATGTCAGTCAATTCAGTTACTGCACTTAAGCTAATTATTTGGTGTGATCTATCTGTTCAGTTGTGGCTTAGCATCCAACCGAAACTGAATGCTTTTGCTTGGTAAACTAGTCAGAAAGTATGCCAGGAGGTAAAGAACGAAACAATACTCTATCTCCTTTCCATCATAGGTGACCTGTAAGCGTGATGCTACCTTAATGTCATAGCAGTTGAAGTGTAAGCAATTCCGGTAGACGTGGAGTGGTTGAAAACGTACCTTCTTCAATGTTTTGAGATGCACATTAAGAGCTAATTCGGTTTTCAGATTGTGCGGCAGCATTTGGAAGGCATTGAGGTCACCAACACCGTCTACTTGTCGTCTGCAAATAGAATGAGGACCAGGGCTATAAAAGGAACTTTGCGAGGATTTGATTCACATGAGCTGTGGATCAAAATGCATAAACTTGCTTGTGAACAAGTATGTGAGAAACCAGTATTTGTTCATGGGACCAATGATACGCAATCCCATTTTGCAGATAAACGTAATTAATATGATCAACTGTTTCGTTGTAGTGACTAGCCCCTACGAACTAGGTGGAGTCCCTTCCCATGTAGCCACTTTGCGACCAGAAATAAGTATGCTGTTTAGGTAAAATATGGTCATCTTAATTAATGGTCCATAAGGAATGTAAACTCACTTATTCCATGCGTATTCGTACCATCGTAGGATTCGCTTTTGCAAAGACGGTGCCACAGCATTGACGTGCATGTAATGCTTCACATTATCCTGAGATAATACAAGCAAAATTAACCGTCGATCATAATATACAAAGAGAGAGAACTAAAGGCAAGCGGCCTTACTTTTGAATCAAGGGGTTGTTTAAAGTACTACGTTTTCAGAGAACAAAAGCATACAACATCGCGTTATATGCACCGTGTACGGAACTTGTTTGCCTATTGATGTTAGGTCCTTTTAAATTGGCTGATCTGAAAATAAGCCAAGTTTTACCTACCGTAGTTGCCGGGAATGAGCAGCAAAAATGACTTCAGTTGATGCAGCGTTGTTTAAGAGTATATAATGGAAAAGGATAGGGTTGCTGTCTTAAATACCCATACGATTATGGCTCAGCTTACAGCATTAATGATGACAGTGTTAAGTAGACTTCACATCCGACTTGATACAAGTTTTGCAATGCGTTTGGAGAAACTTCAAAAAATCAGCCCTTATAGCGAAATCGATAGACCGACGCTATATTCGCACGAATAATTGACCGTTTGAGAAAAGTCAAAAGGTAAATAAAATTAGGCGAGGTATATGTCTATTGGCGCAACGTACAGTCTCGCTACTCTGACGGGCACCAACAAAATCCAGCTACATCGAGATGAGGAATAATGTTCCAAGAGCCTAGGCAGCGATGTTAGAGTTTTTCGGATGTATGGGTAAACACAATTGGTCATGTTGCGATGAACGAACTGCCCAAATTTCCTGCATATAAATTAAAGTGTACTTTTGAAACATATTTGCGTATCATACTCAACCACACGGGGAGATCATTAGGTTGCTGCGTGCGCAGTAACAACGGAGACTAGTCATATGATTGAATTAATAGCTGATTGCATCAATAACTGCAAGAGGAGCGAAGTAAATGAAACGTCCTCCAACAAAATAGGTAGTCCAGGAATCCCTTGGTGGAGCTGAACTGCCCGACATTCGAAAAGACAAGCAGCGTGGCTGCAAATTTGTTGGGAGTTTAATGGAGTACCACCGGATAACGAATGACCACAACACCCTGTGTCGACGGCGATCTTGGCACGAACAAGTGTCTCCAAATTTATGGACGCACGCTTGTGAGACTAAGGAAAAGCCGCCTGTCCAGGAAATTTGGATTCATATGCCAAGTGTCGGTGAGATTGACGGAATAGAGTAAATGCAATTATCGAGACGATATGCTCCTACAACCTTTGTCTATACCATTATTTCATTAGGACCTACAATTTTGGAGTAGGTAACTCTTGTTAGTTGTCTGTAGAAAGTGTCGAGAGACAACATTACAATGTACCATCACGGTTATTGATACTGGAATGTAAAGGTGGCTAAACAACATTAGATTACGATGGATCATTCCTGGTAGTTCGATAAATTTTTCTTGCATTGTCAAGAATGCTGCTTTAAAATGCCTTCGAGCCAGTTTCCCTCGAGGTTCACGAGATGCGCCAAATTGAGACTACAACCTACAGGAATATTTTAGCTTTAATTGTGAACTGCAGAGACGTCCGGCTAGTGAATCAAAACTGCCTGAGTATTGCATAAGTGAATGCGAAATTACTTCTGGAACATTGTTTATTCATAATATTCAGTATTCTCCTTGAAAGTGTTACAGTCTCCAACCTCTTGGGTGCTGCTAATTTCGCTAAGTTCTTGCGAGCTACTGGCGGTTAGCTGGAACAAAATACATCTTGGCAGTCCCGAAATTTCCTCGTTTCACTTACGTTTAATGTGTAGTATTATCCTCAATCGTTTGCTAAGCTTGCCATAAGGCGCTCTTCAACTATATGTTACCAGATTTGTTATCGTCAGTCAAACAATATACTTTTCTTGCATTAACACTGCCAACATAAGGAAAATTTTGTATGTATGCAATTCTCTTTCTTCTTCATCATTGACTGCGCTGAGGTTTCGCTAATCACCAACTTGCGACACAGTGGCAAAAGCAATGGTACCAAATGAATGAGCTGTAAGGTACAGAGTCGCTGATCTGCGAAAGAAATAATAGCTGAAATTCGTTGAGCATAGAGGTTGAGCGAATACAAGTTCTGAAAATTGTATCCTCGTGTTAAGGCGCAGAAACTCTAAGGCCACTGCTATGGGCAAAAATTGTTTCCCATATATGGATAGGATTCTATTTGATAGGATGTATAAAAAGGAAGCAAATTATTTGTGCTCTACTCAAGCAATCGTTTAGGAATATTTGCCTGAACACTGAGGCCGTTTGTTCCATCCGAACACCGACTCATTCTCAGTATCTCGGCTGAATTCCATCACACAACTATAACGCACGCTGCGTCGTTTCATTCTCTATAGCAAAGCGCATTACAGCGTCGTTTGACAACTGGTAAACAGGGATTCTTGCATTGACAGAAGAAAAGTTTACCTCAGCATTTATCCGATTTCTAGAGCACCAATTATGGCCCTTGCTAGAACTATCCGACAGAAATTGGACATTGCTTACGCATAGTCATTTAGGAACATGCTTCAGCTTAACACGTTTACATGTTGTGGCTTATTTAGGTCATCAACCGACCAGCGTATATATGTATGAATTTAGCATCTTGCATTATGCCCTCCAAGTGATTTCAACGTACATTGTTTAGAAGTTCCTGCCACGATCGGAGAACAATTCAAAACCGATCTACAAGATCTAGTAACTACTGCTCCTCTTTACAACCACATCACATTGCCCACTCGGTTCAGAACTGGTAACAGGCCATCTGTGCTGGATCTTGTGCTTACCAACGAGGAGCATATGATTGATGCGTTGGTTTTAAACTGCCCGTTGGGTCGCAATGATCACGCAGTGATCAGTTTCAACTTCGTGTGCTATGCGGAATATCTGAATGATAACGATGAGACTGTGCGAACCATCAAAAGTATGACCGACTCGCCCAGCTCGTCAGCGCCACAACTTGGTCTTTCCTCGAAGAAGTACCACCAGAATTCGCCTGGCTCGAGTTCGTCAAAAAATTCAGTCAGCTGATTGCACAAGCTGCAGAGATAAAAGCTTGCAACAAATGCAAATCAGTTTTTTCGCCAGGAGCAGAACTCGAAAATGGGTGACAGTACGCAACGCAGCATGGCGAGTGTATAGAGAAGCTCCAGCACCAGAAACTTGGGACAGCTACGTAGCCCAACGCAATCACTGCACTTAACTGTTAAGAGAAGACGAAGCCGCTTATCAGCAGAACATCGCAAAAACCTTCAGTGCTAACCACAAACTGCTGTACAAGCACGTTAATAGCCTACGAAAGGTGAGGCAAGGATTTCCTCTACTCAATACGGCTGATGGCCCAACAAGAACATCTATGAGAGCTGCAAACGCGCTGCAGATGCAATACGCCCCCAAGTTTCAAAGAGTCTTGCCACCGAGCGATCTACCAAGCTTTGTATTCTGCTCACCAGGACTAACCCCCATCAATTTTATCGCAGAGGCTGTATTGCAAAAGCTGACTACTCTACGCAAACACAACTCGCCGGGTGTCGACACCATTCGTCCAGAGGCATTGGGAGCAGCAGCAAACCAACTGGCAGGACCTTTAGCTCAGTTTTTCCAGCACTGCTTAGACCAGAACCAAGTTCCCGCCATGTGGAAGCTTGGAACAATAAGCCCGATTCACAAACGTGGAAGCAGAACTGATCCCTCTAACTACCGCCCAGTAACCCTTCTTCCTATACTCTCCAAGGTCATGGAATCGATAGTTGCCGGTGCATTGGTGTGGTATCTGGAAAACTGCAACCTCATCACCCCTGAACAGCACGGTTTCCGTCGACAGCGGTCATGTACAACTAATTTACTAATTGCACACAGTAGTTGGACCGAGGCAGCCGACTCTGGAGAAGGTGTTGATGTGATCTACCTGGATTTTTCCAAGGCTTTCGATTGTCTAGACCACCGGATACTACTATTAAAGCTGCAGCACTACGGGATCGGAGACCCTTTTTTCAGCTGCATCGCCATCTTTCTATTTCAACGGCAAATAGTGGTCAGAATTCTGAGCTCTTTATCGGACCCCATACCAGTCGAGTGTGGTGTGCCGCAAGGCTCAGTTCTAGGTCCACGTTTGTTTTGGTATTTATTAATGACTTTGCACAGGGAATCGCTTCAAACTTCCTAATGTCTGCCGACGATATCAAGATCTGGCGCAGGATCCAGGCGAACGCCGATCAACATGTGCTTCAGAGTGATTTAGAAATGGTGTATCAATGGTCGACCCAAAACTTATTGCATTTCAACGTCAGTAAATGCAAGGTGCTTTCCATCCGACATCAGAAGCAGCTACTCATACCGACTCGGATCGATATACTACAGCAATCAACTCTCGAACATGACTTGGGTGTCCTGGTGCAAGATGACTTGGGTTGCTCCAGGCAATCCGAGAAGGCCTCGAAGACCGGGGACCAACACGTCGGGCTGTTGAGGCGGGCGTTTGGACAAATAAACAGCTCCATATTTCGACAAATGCTCAGTGCGTATGTTCGTCCCGATGTCGAATACGCAATTCAAGCCTGGCATCCATGGCTGAAACACGACCTTAATGCACTGGAGCAGCCACAACGGCGGGCATCTAAGAACGTAATTGGAATGCGCAATCTTTCCTTCCAGGAGAGGCTGCAACGACCGGGATTGTTCAGTGGAAGGTATCGCAGACTACGAGGCGACCTTATTATGGCATACTTGATTCTGCGAGACCCACATCATGTGTGCCGCCCTTTACTACAACTCAGCAGCAATACAAATCTGTGGGGCCACTCATTATAACTCGCAGAACAGTACAATCGTCTGGAGTGCCGCAGAAATTTCTTTTCCATTCGTGTCTGTCACCCGTGGAATGCTCTCCCAGAATCGGTCGTCTCTGCACCGACGCAAACAGTATTTAAAAGACGGTTGGACGATGCACTCATCCACTTACACTTTGTTACTTAACACAACGTCTCCATCCTACACCTGGAGTTCAACATGGAATTATTTGTTGTTAACTGTGGGTGCTGTGAATCTAAGAGGATCGCAGGACTGCGGCGAAGCTAACGATAAGTCTTTTTTATATATTTAAAGTATAACTATTTTACTATCCTTATCATCATTATTGTTATGTTGATATCCCCACCAACTATCCAACGGTACTTGTAAAGCAACGCTTCTTAACCCGTATAAATTCATTGTTCATTGTTCATTGACTGCCGCTCAAAAAATTTTGTGAAGACGTCCATGACCGGAAATCAATAGTTGTCTTTCCCATAATGACTTCGGTTTGTTCGATTCATCTAGCTCTCTGCAATTATCCAGGTCCTACGTAGAACCTCATTTAGAATGGACGGTTCAGGTCTGGCAGACATGGAAGAAGCAAGATGGTGCGGCATTCAAGTTAGAAGCTGGATGTAACTTGCTATGAACTTCAACAAATTTTCCACTTCTGAGCCAGAAACCATACCTCGTGACCCCAAGAAAACTATCCTCTATTCAAAGCAGAACTCAAGGACGCACGTTAATAAGAGAGACTCAGCGTAGTGTTCGTAGAGACTCAACCCGTAGTGACCCTTTGTTTCGACGTAATCACTACACCACACTTGTCTGCGCGAAAAAAATGAACATCCTAGTCTATCAAGGTATTTTGACAAAAAGATGAACAAATATGTGAACAGTCTCCGGAAAGATACGGGCGGTATTCCACCGTTTATCACACTAGATTGCAGACACTAGCCACATGTTCCAATATTCCGACTTGCCATCTTCTCGTGTCAAATACTTGCCTTCGCCCCTCAAACACCAATACTTAGTCAAATCACCTTCCGTTCAGCGACTTTGATGGGGAAGCTGTTATACTTGCGCAACCATAATCCCCGCCTATTTTATAACCTTAACTCGAAAGCACTGGGTTTGGCCAGGATAATTGCTCAGCTGACTCATTGTTGCGTTTATTTCAAGTGTGGTTGGATGAGAAGCACTTCATTACCACGTGGAAGCATGGTATCCCTGATACGTTTTTAAATGGTAGTAATAGTTAAAACTTTCATACCAAGTTTTAGTGACAATAAAATTGATTATTAGTGAGGAAAAGGTGTGTTAATTAGAAAGATACAACCTCAGAGCGCCGCGGTAACCTCGCTTGCAATAATGTCAATGTTGTCAACCAACTAACTGCGCATAGTATTTATACGGAAACCACAGTTGGTATGACTGGAATGGGTATCAAGTACTACAATTGTTCAAGGTCATCGGTCGGCTGGATCACCGCGCGGTTCTCAGCAAGCTGTAGGTTACGGAATTAGCAAACTTGCCCTTGGATGGGTTGAAAAATTATTTTATTCAGCGGGGTTGTAGGTGTGCGTTCGGGGCTCATCGTCGAATACGAATTATGCGGAATGTGTTGCTCCACGGTAATCCATGATGGTCTGCGCTTTTTCTTGGTCTTCCTTAATGACTTTGGGAGTATTATCAAGCCGACTTCTTTGCTTTTTGCAGATGATATAAAGATGTTGCCAGCTAGCGATTAGCAGGAAGATCACGACCTGATGCATCGAAAACTGAAGAATGTCCCTGAGTGGTAAAGGATGAATCTGCTCATCTTTAACGCGATACAATGACTTGCAGTTCATTCATCTCATTAACTAATTGACAAATGGGCTGGAAAATGAAATCTTATAGGCCCCTTCTCTGGTGCTTGACTCTTGCCTAGTAGCACATGAACGCCACGGTTGATCGAATGGGCTGTAAAAATTTCCGGGAGCGGGAATCAACATGTGCCTCTCACCGAGAGCATTTGGCAGTTCGAACATTCTGTTATCTCATAAATGCTAATCGCGCACATAAGGTCACATGCGCGATCCGCAACTCAGGCCTGACAAACTGGGCAGAAACGAGACGTGGATGCAAAGGAGACCCCACAGCGAAGGTCAGTCCATATCGTAACGAGCCTATTCCATCTGCAACGCGAATTCCGATTAAAATCACTACGAGTGTAAAATGGAGGATATCGCCGTCTACGTGGTAACCTCTTGTTAACCTACCAGATTTTGGAAACCTCAGTCAGGTGTCCGCTACATTCTGAAGCTAAAACACAACACCAAGCTAAGAAGTCACATCCGATCGGAAAGTCGCCGGAAAATTTCGCCCTCCGAATTCGTTAGTCTTGTAAACTTTTCCGCCCACGTTATCCACTTGCAACAAGGAGTCAGTACACCACTTCCATTAGGTGACTTGACTCCCGTCCGCTGAATGATGACAAAACGCGAACAAATACGCTATCAACTAGGTTACCCGCCTTCAGAAAACTGCGGAAACGGATTTACATGTATTAACTTGAATATGATGGTGAATCCACAGACTGTATTATCACTTGCTAACCATCATTTTCACTGAAGTTATGTATTTCACACGCTGCCTTCTACGGGACTTTTCAAGGCTTGATGTTCCATTACTCCATCCTTGCCCATTGAGAAGTCGCCAAGGAATTTAAGGGATCATTCCACCTTCCATAGCAACCTAGGCTTTAGGTTCTGATACTAGATAACGGTCAGAATCTATGCCTAGAATGAGATCGTTAATGATTTACAAGGTCTTGAGGAACCGTACCTACGTTGCCGTTTCGTTACAAATTTTTCACACGCCGAACAAAAAGATACACTGCATTTTGCTGCATTTTGTCACCGGATGAAATATGATTAGAAGACTCTTCCTCCGGGTGTACTAGCCATACTGGGTTCTCAAAAATGAAGTTGCTACTGTTTTCCCACATTATCTGTGTCGATGGAACCGTCTGACTCCACTGCATCTCACCTATAGATTGAAATATACCCAGTGTGCGTCCATAGACGAGAAAATATGATAGAAGATGAGTACAACATTATTCCTGCTGACTGTAGCGGTAGGTTATCTTTCGTATGTTTTGTGCGATCAATAGGATTTTCCTGTGAAAGCGTTTTTCATATTGCCGTCAAGTTTTCTTTCATCAATCTCGTAGTTTTCATTCTGGCATCCAGAGCGACATGCTAAAAAGTTCCTTTGTCCCCGGTACTTGGCGACTGTTCAGTGTATTCTTAATGCCAGTTATGTTACTGACTAGCTCTTGTGGATTCTCCACTAAAAACGCAATCCAATAACCATACGGCGTGTTTATGTACTACTGATCTTAAAATAAAGTGCAACATTTGGCAAGCGTTTTACTTCTTAGCTCGGTAAATCATAGTATATGGCTTTCCCCTCTATATTTCTATCTTTGGGTTGGGTAAAAAAACCTTTTAAATAAGTTGTGTGTAATAGACTTTTAACCCAAGACAACATGATTTGTAGAAAAATTTAATGAAAAGTTGGTATTTTAAAAGACCATAGTAATCTTAACTTCGATGACATCACCAGAAACCAGTTTTACTATGCCACAGGGTTGAGAAACCTTACGACTTATCATCTACGTTCACCACCAGCATTTGTTGTTATGTTCACCCATTGACCTGTCTACACTACTACATTCTGTACCTATTACAAAAAAATAGTGATCCGATAATATTCTTGCCCAAGAAGCAACAATTTGTGGTAGGTTTTGCTTTATTTATCTTCGCACTGGAGAACTCTGTCGGCATCCAAACAACGCAACCTGGATTATAGCCAAAAAGTGACAATCCTAATTGCTGCGGACTTTCTTAATCACACGAGGAAAACGTACCATGATTTCTTCCATCGCCAGACGAGCTGCATTTCTGGTGTTAATAATATTGCCCACTTGGCCTGTTGAAGAAAGTAATATGAACGGTGTCAGATATTTACAAATTTGTAAAATGTATTCACGAAAGCTATGCAAATGAGAGGGATGATATGAAATGTGAGACAAGTGTGTTGTGATCACCATGGAGGAAACAATCAATGCAAAAAGTAAATATTTGCCCAAATTTGTCAAGAGGAGATTTGTCTAATTCACATGCTGTCTCAGTGTAGATGGCACTTCCAAGTCGGGTAAGGATAGTAGTAGGTCTTACGGAAATAAAAGCACTGTTTATATTGCAGCTTCCTCATACGACATTAGAAGTTAGAGATTCGCACATCAGCAACGGAGAATACTTATAGGCTCCTCATTTAACATCATCATCAACAGCAATACATCGCCCATTTGAACTGACATCTCGCTGCGACAAAAGCAAGGCAACCTAAGAATCCAAGAATAATTACTTGGAGCACATGGTGATTGAGCATTAAACCTAAATGCCATGAGGCTCCCATACCTTGTGTCAACAACATACCGCCACAAACAGCTGGCTATCGTACAGGATAAGGCGACAACAGCTAGACAGCTTTCTTGCGGATTTCGTTGTCCGGTGTCATAATCAGCTACTACCCAGCAGTTAACTCAAAGCCAGGCAAATTTTAACCAAGTAACTCGACTAGGAAATCACAGCAAACAAGCGAGTGGTGCCGCCTGCAAGCCCTGTCTCGTAATTTATCGAGCCAAGCACAAGACGGGTCATCTGGACTTCACCTTTGAAGGTGAGACGGACCAACGACACTGAGTTTGGTAGTCAATAACTTCATTTCCCGCTGCCAAGTCAAAATTTCCCCACCTCGGTTCTTGCGCCAACCAACATCTGGCAAACAAAACAAGGCTATCCTCGGTAAATGTAACCGAGCATACGTAGTGTGTGCATAAGCCAACGCATCGTATTCAGTCTTATCTCCTGTTCCATATGATCTTTGCGGATACACTGATGCTGTCCAACACCAGCAATGCTTCGCAGACTGTGAGCATCAACGAATTAAAGGTGCCGCACTTCCTCAGCTAGAAGGGTCCAAGGCAAACTTCCATAGAGTAGGACGGCCCTCACTGTGATTTTGTAAACATTGTTTTTTAGACCGATGCAAACCCATTTCTGACGCCACAGGTGTCACAGATTCAAGAAGGCAGTTCTGCCTTTTGCAAAGCGTGAATCGACTTTAGCACTTATGCGCTTATTGGTGCTGATGCAGCTGCCACGTGAAGTACTGTGTTCAAATACCTCGAGTTCCTCACTATCAGCGGTCAAAGGACATCAAGTGGCTGGTGGTCTGCAGAAACACTTTACATTATGAACGTACGGAGCACATACCAAATGATGTAGCCACTATTGTGAGGTTCTGCATGGTTGCTTAGGCTGCCCCAATATTGTTACAAATCAAGACAATATGGTCCTCATACTCAGGGTGAACTACCTCACCATGCACCACCTCAGCGCATTCATCACGAGTCTTTGCAAGGCAGCACTGCATGATGGCATCCACGAAGAACTTGAACAAAATAAAGAGAAATCGGACAACGCTGATGAGCGTCCCTGGTTGTCCGAATGATGGCTTATAAGTTATCTTAGAACCCGAAGCAACCATTAGTGCCAGAGTACAGGGCACTTATTATATTCACATGCTGCATAGGAGCACTTTTCCACCCAAAAAGCTCGAACAAAGTGAATCAATCAACTGGCTCCAACGCGCAATTATTATAAATAAATAAAGCATTTATTCTCGACAAGGCGAAGCACTCCTTTACAGGCATAATCATTGTGACATAACAATGCGTGATCATGAATGTGCAAAAATCCGATATGTTTGCCATAATAGTGGATGTTTATGTAGCGGGGTATGTATATACTTGTCTGTGTACGTAGCTGTGCAGTTTGTGCTGCTCCATTCTTGAATGTTTGATATCTGAGACTGAGTCTGTATTTAAGAGCAAGTAGAAAGGTTTCTGTAAAACTCTATCGAATTACAAAAAAGCAAAAACATTTATTTGTGAATCACTAGCAGTTGTGTCTGGTCCGATAATCGTTTGTCCTTGTTCGGTTAGTAATTTGAACTAGTGTCATTATTTCCGGGCATACAATGTCTTCTCTTGGCATTGTATGTGCATCGTTGCATAAAAGCACAGTTTTCGGAAATAATCGTCGATACGCGTTTTAAAACACTTCACAGAATCGGCCTCTATTAATCCTTCTGATAGTGTATTCCATAAGTTTACTATTCTTCGTTCGATACAATGTGAGAGTAGACGCTTGGCGCTTGTGGGTTGGAAAAGATTATTCGGATATCCACGGGGCAATGACTATTTTGTGGCGAGTCACGACCGCCACGTCACAGTTTTATTAAACAGATATTTGTGGCTTTTTATAGGGAGAATGTTTGCCAGGCGAAAACGCACCACATCTTGGAACACTGCCCCCGAACTATTTGCTGGAACGGGTTAAACCCGAACCACCCAGCTGGCACACGTGGAGGTTGTTCGGCTAGACAGCCAGGCAGTGGTGCGTTGGGCTGTGCATTTGCAGCTTCCGCAGAGGGAATAATTAATAAATGCAGCCTTATTCTTGGCGGAAAACTGCTTGATGTTACCTAATCAGCATACGCTTTTCACCAGCGACGCAAGCAACAAGAATAGAGGCCAAAGATTTTGTCACCGGCGGGGTTAGGCTAATAGCCATGTGGTTGACACACTCAATGCAACTGCATTTCTTTATTTATTACCACCTTAACCAACTAACTCCAGTTAGTTAAAATAGCCTCTCCTTTCCAGATCTGTTCGAACAGGATGGTCACTGCTTTCTAAAAGACCCCTCGCCCATTCGTAACAAATGCAGATCCGAAAGAATCCGGACCAACAGCTCTAAAACGCTTGAGCGATATGATCGCGTTTCAGAGTGAATATTCTTATCCAAGTAGCATGTTGAAGAAAATATTGTGAATGATGTCAGGTATTTACGTACTAGTCAACCGTGTTCGCGAAAGCCATACGAATGTGTGCTTTTATCTAATGAAATGGAAAGATCAGGCTATTATTGTTGGTGTAATGGATAGTGAGCACTGCGTAGAGGATATAATGAAGTAAAATAGCTAGAAACGAAGGAAATACTTTTAGAGGTTGCAGTGTTTGTCAATAAGTGTGCCTGAAAAATTGTGCTACTGTAGGTTGCTAAGATATCAAACAGTACTAAAGTTGCTGCGTTGATCAGGTGGATAAGGGTTCATAAGTGTTTGGATGCTACTGTTCAGACCTTTCCTTCTTCTCAGCCTCTTCTTGCGCTTCTTCATTCCTATGCTTTCGTCTCAAGTTCGCTTTTGTCTCTCTCTCTTTAGCCCCAATACTTGGCACTTCCCCATCTTGCTTCAATTAGCATTTGTCTTCTAGTGGCAACTCACCTGCAATCGCAGGGCGTCGCTCTGGTCCAATGAAAATTCCATGTTCAACCAAATGGACAACATCAGTTCATCCATTCTCATTAGAAGACCACCGTCGCCCCTATGAATGGCGTGCGTCAAGGTGTGCCCTGTTTACCGACTGGCCAACAGGCAGCACTTGCCCGAACACTAGGGACACCCCGATTTGTATCTGATGCTTATCGGAGGCGCATCGGCTAGCTCTGAGATATGTACTTGCCCTGTCATTCCCCATTTGTGAAATTGGCGGCACTTTTTCATTGCGCTTCTTCGGAGATGACGCAGTTTCGATTGCCAGCCATGCCAGTGTAGGCATTGTTCTGGGTGCTCGTGCTGAAATTGCCCTGATCGATTGGATCGCAGTCAATAGTCGGATGTGCGTCGTCAGACTGGATGGCTCGTTCCAAGCTTCAAAGTCGCGCGGGGACAGACGGCCAGTTTAGCATCGCGGCTTACGCGCCCCCAAATTATAGTTCTAACTCGGTAAAAGACGAAATTTTTCACCAACTTAACGCCAACTTTTGTTAGAGAAAAATGTACGGATACTGTACTTCTTGCTGGTGATCTGAACGCTCAAGTTGACAAAGTATGAACTGATGAGCTTCACCTGGGTGGCCACCACAGTGCAGGCTGTCGCAAGAACAAAGGGGAGCGGTTACTAGACCTGTGTGAAGATACTCGTCTCCTTCTCACGAGCACTAACTGCCGACAGAGCACTCACAGAAGAGTCACATAGCTACCACCGGCCTATAACCACGCATGCACGCAAATTGAGCACGTCACTGGAGGGACTGCGACCAAAACAGGTGCTCAGTTCAGAGCACCAGTCTAGACTCTGAACACGCACTTGTTTGTGCCGACCTGCGGGTGCCTTTCGGCAGGCTTCTGAAACGCCACTGTGTGCACATACATACTTGCCAACTGTCGAAGTCTGATGCCCTGAATTTGCAGCAAAGTACGCTGGCATCCCAGCTGAATAAGCGCTCACAGAACACAGTTAAAGACCACTGATCGTATATCCTCCAGGCCATATTATCAGCATGCATGTTTTCATGTGACAAATAAAATTGCCAACCTGGACAATGGGTCCCTGTGCAGTTTCTAAAACTCATCTATTCCCACTGGGGTGTTCCAGCTGGAAAAGGAAACAACGAGGCTGGCGAATGCTTCAGGACGAAAGTATGTGCTAGTCTGAAGTGAGACCGCTTGTCATGGTCCCATGGTACGTCGGAGATGGAGACATCCATTTATTACCATCCTAAGTTATTCAGTTTGATTAGAGAAACGGGAAAGAGGATAGATGGTGTTAGTGAAACTTTGTGCAACGGGAGTAGGCAGCCGATGCATAGCTTGCCAAGAAGCTTGGAGCGTTGGAACGCACCCTTTGGGAAGCAGTTTAAGTAAGCTGCGTTATCACCTTTTTCTTCGGGAATCGATTGCTCTCCGATCTGGACGGACCGTTTGGACCCGCCCTCACGATTAGAACTCGAGCGTGAGAGGTGCTTGTTGACATTTAATGAGGCCGCAGTTGCTGATACACTTCACGCAGCCCTCTT